CTACAATATTGTTTTGCATAAGATATCAGTTCATTTTGCTTTGATTTTGGTGCATAACTCTTTAGCTTAATTCAGTTCATACTTGTCTTCAATAAATTTACCACTTGTGCGGTATTTAATATGGATGTGGCATACTTGCAGCATAGCACAATACCAACATGTGTTTCTATGATGAAACCAATTATGCCTATTCTAGAACCACCATCTAATGCTTCAAGAGGGACATGTAATCAAATATACATGCTATCAATCATGCTTCTCCTACTTAGTCAAGATTCTTCTTTTAATAGGAAAAGGAGGTTTGTGGAGAAATCTACAAGGTTGAATTGCCAGGAAGCAATGGAAAGATGATTGTCATAAAGAACATTATTTAGCCCTCAAAGGAAGCTATGGAGTTGATTGAAGAAGATAGCAAGCTTATGAACAAGAAGATGCAACAAATCTAATAAGCAATTGCCACAGTTGGCCAAATTTAGCAATGAAATCTTCTTCTTCTTCTGGTTCATGTTGGTTGTCTTGCCAAGATGAATCCCTTGCCAAGTAGGTATTCAATCATTGTTAGTGCCTTCTGTTGATTCTTTTGTGTTTTGTTTCACCATGTGTTACCAGTGTTAACTAGAAAGTTATTTATTGAGGAAGCTTCTGGTCAAGTGCTTTACTTATATATTTATTTCTTCTTTCAAGTTACATGCTTTCAAGAAAAGAATTTTTTTTGCTTTTTTATACATATAACTAAAGCTTTTTGCCATTTTATGTTTTTAGGTTGTCATTTTCTAGATGAATGGACTAGATCGTCAATTGCACTTTACCCATGTTTTAAATGGGTGAAAAATGAGAATAAAACTCTGTAGAGGATGGATCACTAAGTCTAGAGAACTCTATTCCACATCTATGCAGGTACCACCCTAGATGCTCCATGCTTTTTCAAGGTTAGGGGAGCTGGGGGCCTCCCTAAACCCATGGTTAGTTTTGTGCAAATTTTTAAACTTCAATGAACAAGAATTCTTATATTTTATGGTTTCCTCAATATTAGCTATGTGGAGTTAGAGGTGTTGGCAATATTGCATCAAAGTCATTGTTCAAGCAACCCAAGAAAGGGCTTACATATATATTGACATTTGAATCAGAGCGAGAAAGGAATGCAATCAGTATGATTGCAAGAAAATATGCTCTTGATTGCAACGTAAGTTCTTGATTGCAACGTAAGTTCTTTTTCTTTCTTCACATATTATTGCAATGTTTATATGCTATCATAGCTCTCTAAAACTTCCAATATTATTGCAAAAATTTGATCTTTCTCACGGTATCTTCTTTGTCCTACACCAAGTGTGTATATATATGGGAAATTAGGAGCTTTGCCTACTTATCTCTGTACAACATGATGAGAAGCCTCTATTCCCTTTGCATCCCTCAAGTGACGGTCACTGCTCTTCATCTTAGAAGACTATTGTTTCAAGCATCAAGAGAGGATTCTTTGATGCAATGTATGGGTTTTCAGAGGTGAAACTACCTTCTATTAAATGGTTTGCATCAGATTGTATTTTTTTAGAGGTTTAACTTGAAAATGAAAACTATGTGGTGCAAGGGAAAAATGCTTTCCAACTAAGAAGTAAATGTGATGCTGTCACCTAGGCCATCTTCGAACTTGGGATGGAAATCAGGTTCTATGCTTGAATACCTTGCATCTCAACCAATAAAAGCAAAATGAGAGAGCAATTCAAAATGGTTCTTAAAGGTTAATTTTCTGCTGCAACATCTTATGCTTTCTACAAGAGTGTTCATCACTAAGAGAGTAATAGACGTAAATGGATTTAGAGATCATTAACAACTCCAAAAATCCAACACTTTCTATGGCTTCTATCCCACCAAAGATTGAGTACTTTGATTTCCCAAGCAATTAAATATGTATGTATCGTTGACATCATAAGAATTGAATTTTCTTAAACTCGGTGATGTATTCTCTCTTTAAGTAATGATATAGTATCATTTTACTATTAATTAATGGTAAAAAAAATTATTATTAAC